TCAAGTTGAAAAACTTTTAAGAGTACTAAAGATATGACAAATTGAAGATCGACCACAATAGAAATTTCCAACAGCGCTCTAGTTATAAAATTGATGAAACCGAAATTAATGAAATGACTATGCACTAGAAGGAACTCGAAGACCGAGGAGAAAGTGACCAAAAAATGTGTCATATTTCGTAAGCTTCGAAGAAACGAAAAAAAATTCGAAACAGCAAACAATTTACAATTGGATCATAATCTGAAAACATCAAATACAAAAAATACGATATCAGAATTACAAACAACTAGTGGGCTGCGCCCCCTGCCCGCTAACGCTCGGCAACCCCCGAAAATTGCTACGCAATCTTAAATAGTTTGCTTCGCAACCCAAGCTCGCTTCGCTCTCTACTTACTTAGGTACATTGCAAATGCACAAAATTCTAAAAATTCAAAACAATCATTCAAATCCATATAACAACTTTTTTTTAAAAAAAAATTACATCTTTTTAGTAAATACTAAGTCATTAAAATAAATTTGAATTCAAATAAATGACATGTAATTCGTTAAACCTATTAGAAATGTGCTATAGTATAATTCGTGATATAAATCAAAAATCGTCAAATAAATTCGTAATATATAAATTCGTGAAAAAAAGCGCTTTCGACAAAATACTAAAATAGAGATCTATCGACAAAGACTACTCACTTCTGCCTAGCTTAATAGTATGAGATTGCCGCAGCTGATGCTCTCTGGTTTTTTCAGTTTCCGTTTTTAAAACCGCTATATGTTGAGCCACCTCATCTAGATTTGGCATGTGACATTTTTAGCGACAATCATGGGTCGATTCGCCGTGTAAGAGAAATAGTTACGTAAACAAAACAAAGTAAACATTGCCACCGGCGGAAAAGAATACAGCCAAAATTTGGGAGCCACGTCAGAGAATTATATATATTAGATTTTGTTAATGCGCGTAAAGGAAATTAAAAGAACGAAATTTGTTAAAACAAGATCCCCATGGGTCTTACAAACTTTAAAAAGTGATAAGGATAATGGAACAAACATTGTTATTTTGATTTATTTATAATGACCACAACATATTATTTTATAAAGGAGATATATCTGTGTGAGAATCCAATTTTGCTGGTCCCAGTTATTAGAAAATACCACCTTAAAGTTAAAACTTCAAGATGAACGGGAAAAGACCCGTAAAAGACCACAGGCTCCCAGATAAATTTTGATAATGATATTGCTAATAAGCACACAATTACTTAAGTCAATTGATCCTCTTAGTTTTTGTATTTCAACAACATTACAAAACAACAGCATCACAATATTAAAGCTTTAGTGTTATTCGATTTCATCTGTTTGCGAAAGTTAAATTGTATAGAAAAGGAGTAAACTGATGACTGAATACTTTGAATTGATGTTACAATTAATAAAATCGCTTTGAAACTATTTTTCAAAGTATTTTAAGATTCTAATGCTACTTTACTTTAATATTTAACAAGATTCATTATTTACTTATGCATTAGGAAATTTCTACTAAAACTAAAGCAAATTTATTTACACTATAATGATTTTATTAATCCTTCTAAACGATTTCATAGAGCCGGGATAGGCCTGGTTGGCAGAGCACTGGGCCCATTTTCAGGAACTCGTGGACTCGATCCCCGCTGTTCGAAGACTCCCCCGTGTAGTAAATGGTGACTGATGCACGTGAAATCTGTCGAGTCTCAAAGTCCTCCATGTTCCTATAACAAATCATACCTCTGGGGTACTGATACATTAGTTTTCCTGTCCTTTGGATTGGTTCAAAATTACATGGCTACGGAGTTGAACATTAGTAGTCGTGAATCTAAAATTGGGTCATCTGTTCAATGACGGTTATCATATAAAATAAAAGCCAGTAAAATACGAGTAAAAAAATTGATAAACAAAAATAAATAAATCATAATTTTAAAAGAAATAAATTGTAAAAGAAAACGGTAATAAAATTATAATAGTTAAAGTATGAGTAGAAGTCAATAGTAAAAAATTAAATAACAAAATTACACGCGAAACAAGCTAAAATAACAGATAATACTGTGTGTACGTAGGTTTATAATGAATCTTGTTAAATATTAAAGTAGTATATTATTGATCAGAATCTCAAAGTACTTTGAAAAATAGTTCCAAAGCGAATCTATTGATACATCATTATAACAATCAATTCAAAGTACCCTTTTTCTATACAGTTTAACTTTCGCAAACAGATAAAATAAAATAACACTAAAGCTTCAATATTGTGATTTTGTTGTATTCTAATGTCGTTGAAACAAACAAAAACCAAGAGGATCAAATAACTTAAGTAATTGTGTGCTTATTGCTGCAAGTAAACAGTTCGCTATTTTTATGACCTCTTTCATCGTATTAAAAAAAACTTTATGCATGGATAAAAGTATAAATTATTCTTGAAATTGCGAAATAAAGAAACTGTTGTTGATAAAATCAATGAATAAAGCTTTCATTAAGGAGGCAAGGAAATAATTCAGTAGGGCTGTTATTGATGTTTCTAAAAATACCAAACTATGCAAGGTATATAAACTAAATGTGACACAACACCGAATGCAGTTTACTTTTTCCTTTGGTTTACCAAATGATAACTTAGTCGTTATTTTGTTAAACGAAAAATCGCGTGACCATCTCTATCATTGCGATTTTGTCATGTAATCCAATATCGTTTATATTTAATTCTGTGGAATGGTGGTTTAATCTCTATCTCTTAATTTCTTTAATTCGATGAGATACTTTAATGTTTTGTGAAATTATAAATGAGAGTTATTAAATTGTTAATGTAATATTAAATCGGCAAATTAGTTTATCTACAAGATTCTACAATAACATGCGAGTTCAATATCGGAATACTTGTGAGTTCAATATCGGAATACATGCGAGTTCAATATCGGAACAAACTCACCGCATCGCTGGTTCGTTGTGAAGCTGTGCTTTCGGCAGCATTGCTCTGTATGCGTGGTAGTGATATTTTAAAAGCAAATTGGAACACTAGCAATCGTTTAAGGATTTTCCACCTGGTGGCATCCTAAATTAATTTGCAAAATGCAACTATGTGGTAAAGAAGTCGAGCACGAACTCTCCGCTTACTATATATGCCGCCTAAAATACTATATATGCCTGGTGCACTCGCCTCCCAATGAGGTGATCCAGGTTCGATCCCAGCGATAGCTGGTCGATTCGAATTCCGCACCCGGCTTGCACCGATCACAGAGCTGACGTAAAATATAATCAGTGGTAGACAGATCATGGATTAGAGTCCCCGTTCCATCAGGCTAACCGTGGAAAGTTTTCGTGGTTTTTCTGCTCAATATAACGCAAATGTGGGTTAATTTAATCAAAAAATCCTTCACGGATGTAAATTTCTCCCAATGATCCAGAAGTTCCCTTGTCTTCTGGATACGATTTAATATTACAAGGCTACAGAGTTGATCATAAGTAGTCGTAAACCCAAAAAATTGGGACGGCTGTTCAGTGACGGTTATAAAATAAAATACATATGTCTGGTGTCCGCTACGGAAGCAAATTTCTCCCAATACTTGATACAGGAGATTCCTTGTCTTCTGGATTGGGTTCAAAATTTTAATCATCTAGAAATGATTTTGCTGCTTCTTCTTCCAGCAATGTTATAGCTTTTTTTTCAATCTGAAATGAAAAGTAATCTACCTTTAGATGCTGTGATAATCTCCAATGCCCGCTGCTGTGTTTGGGGTTTTCTGATACCAGGTATATTGCCACCAAGTACATCCAGGATGTTACCGCGAGAGATTAACCTAGCTAATCTGGATTAACTGAGTTGCTCCGTTTAACCCATTAAACGCCGCTATATAAACCATTCAGGAAAAATTGGAATTTTCGTTTGTTTTAAGGTGTAATAAACATTTCTAATCATATGAGCTTTACATTTTTTTTAAAAAAACTTTATTTGGTCAAAGGATATAATGGGGTCCCAAAATGGGAGACTTGGTGTTTAATAGGACTTCACTTACACACTACGCTACAAGTTAAATGTTTAGTTTCATTACTTGCATATAGTATTTTGATAAAAATCGCAAAATCTGTTTTAATGGGATCAATAAAGTTACATATGAAATAAACATGCTTGAACGAAGCAAAATAGTTCATAAATATTTTTACCTGTTTTATTATTCTTGTTTAACTTTGCCTGTTTTACATTTTTGTATGAAACAAAATTGTACAATTTTTGCGAAGCATTACTTTACATTTTTCACAACACAAACGAGTGTTCGTTTTGCACAACTTACATTTTGACTGCTTACCAGCCTGTGTAATGAAGTGATTAACTCCATCAGAACGTATAATGGTATTTACTTGCCCAAATAGTCCAAGTCCATTCGGCACAGTTTCTTGTCCTTCGGATTTTATAAAACCCATGACTACATCTCGAAGAAATGTTGATTGTAACATCTGTCCATTAACCTCACGATGAACCCTCCTTGCTGCTACCACAGCCATGATAAGAGTGTTTATTTTATTTTATAACCGTCGTTGAACAGCCGACCCAATTTTATGGGTTTACGACTACTTACGTTTAACTCCGTAGCCTTGTAATTTTGAACCAATCCAGAAGACAAGGAAACTCCTGGATCAGTACCCCCAGAGGTATTGATTTGTTGTGGGAACATGGAGGACTTTGAGACTCGACAGATTTAACGTGCATCAGTCACCATTTACTACACGGGGAGTCTTCGGCCGGCGAGGATCGAACCCACGACCTCTTGGATATGGGCCAAGAGTGTAGGTGAAAAAGGGCCACCACCACTTTTTACCCTTTATTTTGGGTCTGTAAGTACTCAAAAATATGTCAAGAAGATCAATACCGCCCATGTTCTGATTATACGAGGCAACTATTCCTGGCAGAGAAGTAAATCAATCTCCTTCCTGGACTTTTGGCACCAGCGTTTTACTAGTCCAATTGGTTCCATTCCCTCAAAATGTGATGCCAATCATACAATTTTATTGTCTATCCATTTTACAACACTAACACTCTTTGTTGTAATGCAGACAGATGTTCCTCTTTCTTTTTTCACTAAATTCTTACTGTCTTGCAAAAGGACAATCTTTAAGTCTGTTCTCTCACCGTTCCAGTTATACGGAATTCCCTTTTCTTCAAGCAATGGCAGAGAGTTAAAAAAATTGTCAACATACACTTTATGTCTTCGGCAGTTTTCTACACGTTCTATCAAATCTAAGACGACTCTTGTTCCGAGGGGTCTATTGCATTCAGCTGTTGTTTCTTTTTCCACATAAACCTGCAAACTATATGGATAGCTTTGTGAAGAAGTAAGAGCCCTCAATTTATAACCAAATTTTATGGGTTCTCCTCGCATGTACATCTTTGCAGAATGTCTCCCTGTGTAAGGAATCATGTCCTCATCAACGCTTAAGTATTCAGAAAATGTCCTAAATTGTTGCAATTTCTTACAAAACATCTCAATAAAGCATTTCACTTTGGCCAAATTGTCGGCGGTATCAATTTGATCATTATTGCATAAATGATTGTACTTTTTTATGGCTCTAAATCTTTGCCTGCTCACGACATTTTGTATAAAGGGCAGATTGCAATCTTCTGCATTACTCCAGTATAAATCCTCTTGCTGCAATGAATGGTATCCGCTAAGCAATAAGATTCCTAAAAAAACATCTAACATCTTTTCAGATAAGGAAAATGCATAGTATTTATTGTTCTGCTTAGCTTACCGTAATATCTCTTTTATCACATTCAAAATATAATAATCAAAATACGTTTTAGACAGTTCATACGGAGTTTTGCCTGCTAATTCAGGGTTAATTTCTTCTAATAGTGGTGTTTTTTTCTGATTGAATAGAATCCAATTTATCAGCTTTGTCCCAATTGTGGAATTTTCTCTTAGATTTCTTTTGTTTTTGCGTTCCAATGCCGTTTGTTATAACTGAGACTGATTTCATCATTTTTGCGAATTTTTTATGTTTTACTTGCTTATTTTCAATTCTGGCCTGAAAACGTGACGGAAAAGAGAAAATACTGGTAATAGAACTATTTCAAAAATAGATAATTTCCGGGAGGAGTAAATCTATTCTTAACAATAAACATTTCAATATTATTTAGTTTTTCTCGGAACAGAAGCAATTCAATATATAAATTGTATCCGCTAAAAATTTTTGATAGTCATGGATATTTTATTATTCCCGAAAGAAAGCTAAAAATGAAATTTATTTGTTACCAGTTTTTACTCTTTTCCATATTGATATATATAGACTTTCAGCCCTGTCTCAATTGTAGGTAAATCATCTTCATCACTCGAAAAATACTTTTCAGGGAGAGACCTCCTCTTTTTCAAAGATGTTTTTTTTTCCCGGAAACATTCCGTGTTTTATTGTGTTTCACATTCAGCTCTATTTCTCTGCAGACATCTACTGGCAAAACGTCATCTAAATCATTTTCTTGAAAATCTGCTTCGTCAGTTACCTTACTTGGATCTGGTGGTAAAACGTAATAATACATTAATCTCACCTGAGAATTCATCAGAATCTAATGTTTCCATGTAATCCAATGCCTGCTGTACAGTTAAAAACTTGCGAGCCATTTTTAGCATTAACTCCTTCCGAAAAAAGTATATAATGAAGTCTTAGATTACCTTTTCCTTATTAGTATGCCCGGTTTCCTCCTAATTTGTCTGCTAGCTAGAATTAGCTTTTACGACAGGTTACCACCATAATTAATTATACAATAAAGAATCAGGGCATTAGAATATTCAGCATTCTTTCACAATTTTTTTCATCTAGGTTAATGTTTGATTTAGATGCGATAGCTTAACTTTAAAAGAAACAGGATTTTCGTCTAAGATTTTTTATTTAATTTAAAGTGGTAGCAATAATTATTCCTTTTCTCTTTTAATTAATCTATTGTATGATCCATGATAACTCGATAATTTTTAATAAGAGAGAGAGAGAGAGTTCTGTTCAGTATATAAACTTTACAAATATTTATTTAAGAAACAAACATAATTGGTGCTCTAATAGAAGAGAGCCACCACATGATTAAATCAAAATAATAAGAATTAGAGAGTTACATTAAAAGAAAAAGTACTAGGAGCTAAACAATTTCGTCGAACAATGTGTTGACATCAGACGCAACCTAGATTTATTGATTTAATTTAAATTAATTTTAAACACCGCTATGTATTAATATATTAGTCATGTATATATAAGCATGACAGCCATATAATAGTGTGTTTAAATTCTGACAAAATTAATTTTAAAAAATTATATGTAATTGTAATTCAACCATTGTCACTTGAAAAAAATCATTGTTGGATAAAGCATAAGTTGGAAGATATGAAATGGTGGTTTGAAACTAGAACACATCGAATATGAGAAAATTCGCTTTATCTCCATACTTCTAAGTCGTTTATTTATTTACACCCATGCTTGTGAAAATTGTACCATGAAGGAATTATGCAAATTAAACCCAACTTACATGAAATATAAAGTGACGTAAGAGACGCAACTAATTAGAATTGCAAAGCGATTGCGCATCTTTATTTTACCACTATCAGTATGAATTTGTATATGTGGAATAAATTTCATTAATTTTTAGCAAATTGGCAAACCTCCAGAAGACCTCCCATCCCCAAACAAGGGTTCTATGACGTCAGCTCTAGCTAATCTTAGTCAGCAAATTGGCGTATTAAAGTTGAACAAAGTTTCTCTACATAAATTAGTTATATACATAAGTTAGTTATATGTTAATTAACTATAAGTTAATTAAATACAAAGCCGCATCACATATCGAATTAATTGAAATATAATTCCTTCTAGTCTACTTAGTTTAGACTTATTATTCGTTTATGCATTTTATTGTAACCGTGATATATTTTTGTTTAAGTATACCTGGGAACTTCGATGCATAATTAGTTTGTTTATGTTCCACATGCCTCCTGTCTTTGTGCTAAGTCTCAGTGTAAATATATAGTCAGAAAATTTAAATTTTCGAGAATGAATCTTTGTGAAAGAATTTAGAATGTGTCACTTAAGATAATTGATACTTGACAAGCTTAGCTTACTCGAAATAGAATGGAAAGAACATTTGATAAAGTAAACAAATGCCACGTTTCAGCAACCAATCAGGATCGAGATACCCACCCTTCGTTACATGCAGGTACCCCATTCCTCCATGGTGTTGAAAATTTCACAAACATTAGTGCATTTATTTATTGTTTCATATAAGCCCAAGTCAAATTGATGAACAGACAACTCAAGTCTGAGGGGGACATCACAAAGATGCATTCAAAATTACCATGGGATTCGAACCCTCTACCTCCACGCTAAGAGGGTCTGGGAAAGAAAGGTCCTTTAAAGTGGTTGATTAAAAGACGAGTAGTTAGAGAAATAAAACTATTACATTTTTAGTGTTTAGTATTATAGCTAAAAATAAGTGGTATCATTATGATATATCGGCCCCCACAATGGACTAAAAAAATTAGAAACTAAAATGAGCAAATAATAATAATTACTATCAAATTCTAGTGTGAGAATTTAAATAAAACCCAAACAAATATTAACGATACTCTTGTTAGCACAGACAGTACTTCATCAGGGGACACTCTGACATGCTAACTTGGTGGAGAATTTCTGTTGTCAGTGTGTCCCCAGATGAAGTACTGTTAGTGCTAACATGCGTATCTTTAACATTAGCTTAAATTTTTTTTTAAATTGTTTATATGAGACAGTTTTGGCTTTAGTTGCTTATAGCGCTTTTCCATTTTGACTTATTTTACTTAAATTCTGGTCTTCATTTTAGTTTCATTCAATTTTACATACTTATATTTGATATCAATTACTAGTTATAAAGGTTACCTTTTACTACCCCATTACAACCCCACTACCCCATTTCAATAGCGTGCCGAGGACAACAGCCCACAACACTTAGCGATAGAGGACTTCATTCGACGTCTACGACACCAGAGGACACTAAAACTCTAAAAACTGTTGTTTTTTTCTTAAATTGTAAAATCAATACTCTCAAGTAAAATCATTTTAAGGCGAATTAAATACGATTTTCATACAAATTTAACAATGAAGTTTTTGATCATTCAATATTTTTTACTTGTAAAAAGTGAAGAATATTTTTTTTACAAACTATACTTTTTATGATAGAAACTTTAATTTATATTGAAAACACATTTAGATTTTTAAAAACATATTAAACATTTATTTCCTCTTTTCAGTTCTTACCCTTTGCACGCGAGTGACCAACGCCTCCTATAACTGAAAGGCTCCACACGGTTTCTTATGAGCAGTCCGATCTGACCACTATGAAAAGGAATCAATTAACGAAAGAGCCATTTAATAGAAAATCTAGTAAAAATAAGAAAGTGGTTGTAAATATATGTCTAAAAATTTGTTTAATTTATGCACGTGATTGGTTTGTCTTATTTACTTGTTAACCACTACAGATTCAATTCTCAAATATGTATGATAAATTTCTCTCAATTACTTTTAAGATAAAATTTGGGTAAATGCGCACAACTGGTTCATTTTTTAAATAGTCTGCGCAGACTACTTATTAAAATCAGTGTGGGGGGCTTTCTGATGTTGGAGGTGATGGACAGAACCGATTTTAACCCATTAATGCTCAGCCACTAAGAGTGAACCATACATATGAAATAAGTGGTAGTTCTTATTTGTTTATAGAAGTGGATATCTTTTAATTTTACTTATCACTTTTAGCTTTAGAAAAGGCAATTAATCTTCATTTCTGATGCAAATATAAGTATTTAGATTGTCAATATATTGTGATAAACGAAATAATCTCGACTCTGAAAATGATAGTCTAGTTAGGAAAAACATGTACTACCACTTTCTTTTTTTTATATGAAAAAACGAGCTGTCCTTTAAAAATAACGCTAAAACAAGGAATGAAAGCACTGCCCTTATTTATCAGAACAGAACTACGACCCCTATAAGAACACTTATTCTTTAAAAACAATAACTACACTTACCTTTCTTTATGTAGATAAAATCAAAAATTGGCGTTTACAAGGGATTTAAATTCATGGTACAATTTACTCTTTGCTTGCTTATCTTTCAAACATAATACAATTGGGACTAAATACATACGTTATTCTAAGTCTGCGGTTGAAAGAGGGTGCATATTCAGTTTTGGAAAACATATTCGAGTCTCGCGGGAAAAACATGCTCTCAAAGGTATCCATAGAAACGGTCACGTGACGTCACGAATAGAATATAAATGTATTCTTCTCCTTGTTCTGTTTTTTCTTCTTCTTTGAAATACTACGAGGGAAAAAAAGAAGAAGCAAAAATAAGATTCTCTGAGGACTAGATACATCCTCTTAGATTTTTGCTTTTTTAGAAAAGTTACAAAACTTTTCAAACAAAAGATTAACAGTTTCAAGATCCCTTTCACTTTTAAGCAAAGCGTTTTACTTAAAGTTGATAGAAGAAAATACTTTTCTCCGACCGCGGTGAAATTTAATCTTTCTTATTTTAAAGCTCAAATCATTCCACATTAATCTGAATTATTTTGCATCAAATTAAATGGTGAAAACCTTTTTAATTAAAGATGTTTTTTAAGCTCAAACCATTTTACATTTATGGAAGTTATTTTTCACTAAAATAAACAGTGGAAGCTTTTAATTAAAATTGTTGTCCAATCTCAAATTACATTAATCAAACTTTGTAGCGTAACTACCACTACAAATATTAAATACCAAATTACTAGTATATAAGACATAGCTAAATATTTTCTTATTTGAGGTGCCTTTTGATGGATGAAGGTTGACATAGTCGTTAATTAATTCCTCTTAAACTTAATTTGTATTAAAGTAAATTTCAAACTAAAATCATTTTTATTTATAGAAGTTATTTTGCATTAAAATAAATATTAAAAGCTTTTATTTAAAAATGTTTTTCAAGCTCAGATCATTTTACATTTATAGGAGTTATTTTTCATTCAAATAAATTGAGGAAGCTTAATTAAAAATGTTCTTCAAGCATACGTCAGAGTTGGTCTAAAACGAACATAAAGTATAGTCGTTTTAGTTAGATATCTAATTTTGATTTAGAGGAGATAAGAGCTTGAAGTTTAATTTATTGCAGCTGTTGATTTGTCTAGGGTGTTTTTTACGAGGTTTTTCCAAATGACATTTGAGTTTAGTAACCACACCAATATAAGTCACTTTTGAGACTATACTCGATCATTGAGGAGAGTTAGAGAGTTGTTGATTTTTGACTTCTCCTTATTTTTTTGAAGTGAAACTTCTAATGCGACTTCCAACAAGGTTGCGTTAAACGTTCAACGCTACCATGTCAACGAGCGGCCTGTGATCCTTGCAGGAGATTTTAATGTGAATTTCTCGTTACGTGAAGCTGAAACATTATAAACCTTCCTTAAAGATAAATTTGGATTGGAAATGATAAATGGTGGGAATGATCCACAACCAAAGGGGGAACTACCACTGATGCAGTTTTTGCAAGAAATATTGAAAAAATAGAACTTAAACATTTCGTATCTTACTTTAGTTATCATAATCCCATTGTAAATGTTATAGATCTGGATATTTCTCCACTCGAAAATTATAGTTAAAAGATGCGATCAATTGTGAATTGTAAGCATTGTTAATAAAATTTGTCTTAAAGAAACAATATGATTTCACTAAAAATCAATCTCTACCCCTTCCTATTTTCATTTCCACGTTACGAAGTTTCACTTCTTCAGCGCGGAGGGACTCCACGCACTGTTTTTTCTCTTATGATGAGTATGTTGTATTTTTGGACATTTAGTTTCTATTTTCCATTGGTGCCAGTTCTTAAATTCAAAAATCTTTGTCTTGGAGATATATACTCGGGAGCAGAAACCGTCTTGCACGGCAGCGAGAGCTTCAGATTATTTTTAATCTTAGTTTTGTTTTTATTTTTAACACGTTGAATGCTACTCTAATTTTACATGACTTGCCCGTCTGGCCAAACGGTAAATAACTACAAACTAAATTTGCAAATATTAGACAGATTTTGCTAGTTTTTTTAAAAGGTTTAGCATGCCATATCTGATAAAAGTGGTAAATTATATAAACCTAGGAATTGTTTAGAAATAGTGCAGATAAAAATTTACTAAATTAAATTTATTAAACCAAGAATCACAATTAATAAACTATCACTTGAAAATATTTATTCGCTGTCCGGAGCAAGTTGGCATCTCTGTGTATATAAATAAAACGATTTTTGTGTGTTTTATATTGCATTAATTTCTTCAAACCATTTTAGTATCGATAAGAAAATAAAAAAAATTAAAAGCATTAAAATTTTAATCGAATTGTGTATTTCTAATAATCTGGGTTTCGCCGGTCACCGGTGAAACCCCGAACAAAATCAGTGCCGATCACCGATGACCCCCATTGCAATCAACGTGCTAAAAAGCAAATAAACAAATGTGAGGAAATTGCTGAGACTCGTTTTCAAACAACTTCTAAGCTTGTTACTAGATAAAAATTTAAAAGTTGAATAGAGAGAACATAACAAACAACTAAGATAGAAAAAAATTTGTTAAAAAAAATCTATTACTTGATCACAAGTTTAACTAAATAGGAATGTATTATATTTTTTTAGTATCAATGCATGAAACTCAACTTAGATTTAAACAATATAAATAAAGTTTCTATGTTTAAGAATCTTATATTTCTCAAATTTTGCTGCACGTGTGTGTTAGACCAGGGGTTTCCAACTTTCATGAGGCCGAGGGCCACAATTAAAAACACAAATCAAATGGCGGGCCGCAACTTTATCAAAATTTTATGTAAGACTCTTTTATGTTTGAAGGAACATTAAATATTACTGTCAGTCTTTTACCAAGTTGAACAAAACAAAAGTATTGAATTACAAATTAAAATAAGAAGAGGATTTTTAAAAATATTTAATTGTTATTAATAATATTTAAAAAAAATAGTGCGTGGAGTCCCTCCGCGCGGAAGAAGTTAAACTTCGCAACCTGCGACGTTAATAGTAGAAGAATCAGCAGTCGTAGAAGGATCACTAGTTCTATTCAACGACTCTTTTTCCTGCTCCGCTCGCTTCCGTGCTCTGTAATCACGGTAATATTGTGCATTTTTCCCTCGTGGACCTCTTGAACCAGTGGAAGTGCTTGTGGTTGCCTCATCGTCTCGCCCTGGAAAATGTATTTGTATTAATAATGTATGTGAATGCGTCATAATGTAATTTCAAAAGAGAAAACCTAACAATCAATTGATATTCACAAGAGACGTACCTTGACATAACCTTAAATCCGTCGCATTGTCCGTGGGATTGTTTTCACTCATTTTTTACAATTGTTATCCACTAAATTTGAAAATAAAAAATACTACCGTATTAAATTATATGTGTATCAAAGCAAACTAAAAAAATATTTATAGAAAAACAATACTTTTATTATATTTATGCTAGTGAGAACCAAAACAATATGGAAATGAATGAGGGAAAACTGGATCCCACCACGTGATTTCCCGGCCAATAAAAATGTAGCGTTAAACGTTTAACACAACCTTGTTGGAAGTCGCATAAGAAGTATAACTTCAAAAATATTTAATTGTTATTAATAATATTTAAAAAAAATATTAAATAAATAATAAAAATTTGGGCTACAATAACTGTAATGTGCACCCATGTATTAAACAATTAATGTGCAACAGATATCTAATTGTTAAGATATAAAATTTTAAAATGTTTGGTATTAAAACTTACATAGTAGCCCACGAAATATTCCATAAGAAAATTGAGGCTTGTCTGCTGCAACCATCAGTAAATAGATATTTACATTTTAAATTTACAAATGTGTGTGCAAATATTTTCGTCCAAAATTAGTGGTTTCAATAAGTTAAATCAGAGAATATCTTCGAGAAAATTTCTGATACGCACATGCTAAATTATATTCACAAAATACAAAAAATTGAAAAAAAAGAGCAACATACACGATTATTTTTGTATTTGAATAAATATTTTCTTGGATTCAAAACCTGAGAAATAAATTTCTTTTCACCGTTGGTATGTTAAATTTCACAGAAACGAAGAGATTAGGTTTTTATTAACGAGAAAAGTACTTTAAACTCATATAGATTTTTTACGAAAATTGTCCCCAAAAAAATAACAACTAATATATTTTAGTTCGCGGGCCACAAAAAAAGGCTTCGCGGGCCGGATGCGGCCCCCGGGCTGCCTGTTGGAAACCCCTGTGTTAGACTAAACTGAATTTTTACAATAATAAACTCTGTCAGGCAGCTTGGAGGTCGCAGACAAATTTGAGTTTATGAAAATAATTCTGCAGATTCACTTCGTAAATTCTGTTACCGGAAGTGTATACAATTTTTAATTTATTAATATATTACCATTAATATCGCAAGGAATATTATTTTCTGAAACTACAAAAATTCGTTGTTAAAAGGTATGCAACCACCACCTCAGCGATTTTCAGAGAACGAAAATCGATAGCTTTCAAATTCATTAACAAAAATATCCATCACTTGCTCTCTAAAAGTTCACTTGTGGGCCCTCAAATTAACGTACTCATAAAATACCTTATGGGAGAGAAGAAAAAAAAAGTGAATCCTATTGTACCAGTTGCAATTAGGAAGTGACCAAAATTCTTTCTTCAAAGTTCAAGCTTACCCATCTTCAAAAACTTAAGATTCTAAAAATGTAGTTATTATTCCGGGGCAACAACATTCATTTTATGCAAGCACCGACTGCTTACAAAACTGTAAAAAAAAACTGTTAACACCCGTAAAATTAACTATCAACATTTTATGAGCTCACATAAATCTTAATTAGCTCGCCGGATCTTAAACCCTCTTTAAAATTCAAGTAATGTGAGATTAATTAATAAATGGTAGTAAATAAATCTAAATACCTAATAATTTCTAACACGACATGTTAACTTTTTCAAACCTTTATTTCTAATTAATTGAAGTTTTCCCGTGGGTGCCTAGGTTAATGGATCCAGTAAATGTTTTAATCACATTTTTGAAGGCAAACAAAAGGCAGCACTCGCAGTTTACCTAATAGCTTTTACCTAAATTAAACCTGACGACAGCTTTTACCTAAATTGAATTTCGAGGAGCCATTTTCACTTTTGATGTGGAACACTTTCTTTCAAAATGCATT